AGACTTGAACAGCCAGGCCAACGTTGAATGCCTCGTCAGGACCCGGAAATTTTAGTAAAGATACAAGATCCTCAGCAATGCCAACACCTCCTTTTCAGTCACATTGTAATTCAACTCGTTCGTCTTCAAGGTGCGGCTGGCGAACGCAACCGGATGATAGATCCCGTCGTGTTCTTGCGTCAACGAGGCGGATATCGCCCCATCGCTGGCATATACGATAACTACCGGCGTTCTCGCGTCGTCGAAATGGCGGAGGACTGGGGTAGTCGCGATCTTGGTTTTCAGGGTGATGAAGGCCCTATGTGCCCTGATCCACCTCTCGTCCACTGACCCCGTCAACTTCAGTTCCAGTGGGTCGTGGTCTCGAGGAATCGGGGCATTCCGGTCCCCATGATCTCCTTCAGATCCGATCGTTTCTCCAGTTCTGCAAACTCCACCTCCCGTAATTCGTAGAGTACCGAGGCATAGATAGCGTAATCTTCGATGAATCGGCTGTAGTAATTCAGACTGTCCAGGAACGACTACATAGATCGCAGTGATCCGGGGAACGGCAGCTCGGTCAACGATTTCAGGTCTTTCGGGCTCGCCTCCAAACCTCCGATCGACACTCGGTGTCCCAGATATCCTACCTTATCCATGCCCCAAAAGCTCTTGGCTACACTGATCGACAAATTCCACTTATCACAAGCTTCCAACAGATCTTCCACTCTTCGGCACATTTGATCCCACGATTCCGCTGCAATCATGATGTCGTCGATGTATGATCCCCGTCCCAACACTGAGTCCCGATAAGGATCGTCCGCGATCCCGGTCTGGAACACGTCCGTTGTTGTCTCAGCATCGCCTGATGATGAGATCTTCAAAAATCCATACAACGCGTTGTCTATGAGGCGTTGATAAATCCGCGGGGCATTCTTTAGGCCAAACGGCATGCGGCTCCATTGGAATAGTCCAAACGGAGTGATGAATGCTGAGATCTCGCGAGCCCGATCCGTCATGGGCACGACCCAGAAACCGCTGGCCATATCTAGCGAGCAGTACCATAGTGCTTTATCAAGATCTTCTAGCAGATCGCTGATCAGGGGCATATGGTAGACTATCAGCCTCGTGAGGCTGTTTACCAGCTTGTAATCGATGCATAGTCTGATATCCACACCGTTACTCTTGCGAACAATCACGATCGGCGAAGCCCATGGAGATGTCGAGGGTCGGATGATCTCGGCTGCCAGGAGGACCTTGATCAGGCCTGCGAGTTTTTCACGAAATCGCGTGGGCACTTTCCGGGATCGCAGTGCGATCGGTTTTGCATTTCCAGCATCGATATCACATACGACGCCCTTGGTCGCCGGGGGCAAGGCGTTCCCTTTGCCGATCAGAAGATGTCTCTTCTTCTAGATTATCTGCCGGAACCTCTCGATCTCCTGGAGCGTGGACGATCCGGAGTCTCCCACATGCAGATCCTCAATGCTCACCTTCGCAGTCGTCGAGATCGGGATTTCGGGGCGGACAGCCAGGTTTCCTTCAAGATCTTCCGCTGAGAGATCGCCACTGTCATGGTAATAAATCTCCTCATCGTCCTCGGCATCCTATGGGGTGGTCGCTGTAGCTCCTTCTGCCGGCGGATCTCGTTGTCCGACGCCCTCCGTCGGGTAGATCGGGAGTTTCGCGTCGGGTTCTTCGCCGGGATCGAGTTTGATCTGGGCTTGAGTTAGATCTGGGTTTGATTTTCCGTTTTTGGCGCGATATCCTTGGTGCCAGTTTGATTTCCCGTCTTGATGGCCTTGGTGTCCGATCGATGGCCTGGCTCCGCATGCTCTCACTTATCCCACCGCCTTCAGCAGGGCTAGTCGTTGGCGTAGATGGGCGTCCCCTTTCCGGATCTGGAGATTCTGCCTCGATCAGAGTTGCGTCGGCATTCCAGCCCTCGGTCAAGATTCTAGGGTGTTCTAGGATGGATACCAATGTTCGATCTCTGTCAATCTCATCGGATTCTGGCCGGCGAAGTATCGATCGTGGCGTGGGATACGATGGTCGTGGTACTGCCGGCTCCGCAAGGTCCCCTAGAAGTTCAGGGGTCCGATTTAGTATCCACCGTCGATTTCAATGCCAGATTCTGCCACTCCCGATAGCGACGTGACCCGACGAACACGAACCCTGGGGATCGAGGTACTTTGTCCTGATCCAGGATCATACCAACGTCCAGACGGTGGCCCAGCCGTAGGATCTCCTCTCCGATGTTCGAGATCACCAGGTAGCGGATCCGACCGGGGCCTTCCGTCACAGTCGGTACCCATCGTTCTCCTCTCGTCACTCACAGTTTCTCGGTGGCCGACAATTTTATCCTGGCCGCCGTTTCTTCCGACCGGCCAACCGGGATTCGTTCGAGAATCACTGATCTCACGTTCTCGCCATACTATCTCTTACGACCATTAAGCGGTATTCCCACTTCGTCAGGTAGCCGTATCGATCCGTCGGCGAGGTCCATCCGTACACCGGCTGGGACCATAAAAGCCATGCCCAGGATCGCGTTCTGTCCTGAGAGATCTCCGATCCAGATGTCGAAAAAATACACCAGATATCCCGCCAGAGTGATCTTGATCTTGGTTCT